CCGAACAAGCCTACCACAAGGAGCAAGCAATTCCATCAACCTGCTTTAATGACTCTCATCGCCAGTGTATACGCTACACAATGTTTAGCAATCCAAACCAGGAAGCCTTCCCAGTTTCTTTCTACTCTGAGAAATCAATTTTCTTTATGAAATAAAACACTGCCTCTGTGAAGGCCAGAAATGCAAGTTTCAGTTGGTTTTGTCTCACAAGTCTTTTATCACTGTAAGAAAAGAACATTTACTATCATCTAAGAAAGTAAATACACATTGTTTCATGTCTTTCAGTAGGGTTTTCTAAAAACACTGGTAGTTCCCTGCCCTGTCTCATTACCTTCCCCGTGTTTTCAAAATAAGGAAGTCTGAAAGTAGCTTCTTCACTTGCTAAGCTGCAAGACCTCTCTAATGTACATCCACTTTGAATTTAATCATGTTTATAACCTATGAACTTATTGTATTTTTTTTTAGTATCAGTCTGCTTACAGTCATCTCCAATTGGAGTAACTAATTAGGAATACTGGAAAGGCACAGGTGTGGTGTGCAGCCTTCAGGTGCAAGGGTTATCTGCTCCGCATTAAGAATACAGACAGTATAATTTTCTTAGCGTTACGCACCGATGTCCCTTTCAAAGCATAAATAAGATACTCCACAAGTTCTGCAAATGTCTGTGCTAACTTTAACTGCTGCTCAAAATACGCTCCCAATTAACATGGGAATGTCTGAAAGAGTAACTACTATAATGACAAATATGTCTTTTCTTAACTTAGAAGGAAGCACACTGCCAAAGAGCAAAAGAGAAGGGTTTTAAAAAGCTGAGGGGGTAGGAAAATGAGAAGAGACACACACAATAATTAAAGCTGGGGTGGCTCCTCTGGTGCCTCATTATAAGATATGCCTTTCATTAAGTGTAATGGAATTTAATGGATCATTTGCAATGGAGAAACATTTATATGGCACTCAAACACTAAATGTATCCCTTTATTAGCAGCACTGCACATGTACTTTCAAACAAGAAGAAATTGCTGTAAGGATGAGTCTGTGCTACTCATCACTGAATACAGAAAGAAGGATGCACAACACGTTGGATTTATCAGAAATGTTTAATCCAAAGAAATCTAAATAAAATGGAAAATATTCAAGAACAATTTTGACAGAAAAAATAAAGCATTTAATGTGAATGGAATTGTATTGGTAACGTTGTATCAGCCAGTGTGAAACAGAAAACTCATTCTGAGTATTACTGAAAACATTGTATTTTGCCACCGCCTTTACTACACTCCCACAGTCCAGATCAGTTTCCTGTTTAACGGCCTCTGAGTACACTGCAAAATCTAAGAAATTAAATATTTTTCTCATCATACTAATGAATATATGTTATCTGAAATATAAGAGCTGCCCTACTGAATCAGACCTGTCATCCATCTAGCCAAGCATTCTGTCTCTGACAGCAGCACCAAGAGATGTTAGAGAAAATATGCAGCTAAGCTTCACCACAGCTGAAGGTCAATTCCCATTTTATTCAACAGCATCTACAGACCTTGGAAATGATGAATGCTAGATGGTACACCTCTTGCTGTTCTCCTCAGTGCCCAGTGATGGACCCACGGTCCATAATTTTTCTAACCCTTTATTTTAACCTGCTGATATTATCTGCTCCCACAAAATCTTGTTTAACTAAATTCCAGGGGCTCTCTAGACACTTCATAAGGCAGTGCTGTAACTATTTTGAACTGATGTTAGTTTCATCGAGTGTGTCTCATTCAAATACTCAAGGGTGTGATGAATAGCAGATCTCCTTTAGCCTTAACTACTATCGGCATGATTCCGTACACAAATACTGACAATAACAAACAACTCCTGCCCTGCTGATGTGTTTGGAAATTTAAGTCAAACCTGACTCTACAAAACAGTAAGATTCTTCTGTTCTCACCCAGTTTTTCCTGGCATGCTTTTGTTACTGTAGCACAACATGTCATCTCAGCTAACAGGAATATGAAGAGACAAAACTTTGGCCTGTAACTGACACATTTTTAACTTTCTCTAAAAGATGCAGGTGCTTACATTACAGTGAATACTTTAACAAACTAAGGAAACATCCTAAGCATATCCTAAGTAAAATGTTCTTCAAAAAGTTGCTTTCAAAGGCAGAGGGCTTATCCTTTAGAAAATTTACTGACCCACACATCTAGTAAGTACAAAACATTACCTAAACAATTTTTAATCAGCTTTATTACCACATACTTTAAATCACACTGTTGATCAATTATATCAAATGAATCCCTATACAGTGTGTATTATCCACTCTGCTGTGCAAATTATCACATACAAAGTTATCACATTTAATGGATTTTGGCTAAAGTCAAGTGATTTACAATATGATTGCAAGGGCATCGCCAATAAGCTTACAGAAAACACACCAGCTTATCTACCATACACACACGCTTCTTGCATGCAGGTATCTGAAGGACGGGGACTCTGGAGTAATAGATACGCTTGAATTCACAGATATAAAAAAGTTGTAGGGTTTTTAAGAAGAAACCTACCAGTGTGATGTCTCGGGAAGCAGCAGCTGCACTCATGTGTAAACTAGGTTGCCTGACAGAACTACTGCAGTCCAACGCTCGAGCAAACGTGCCAACCGCACTACAACAGAGAAACAGTAGACAGTGAATACACAGAAAGATGTAACCTCTTTTTTATTATCAGACTATGTTGTACCTATAAAAGTGTCTTTTTAAAAATAAAGATCACATACTGTTTCGCTTAAGGTTTCAGATCTTTGCTAACAAAGGACAATTTGATAAAGACAGATCACTGAACACTGCAGTAAAAACTCTGACCTTCTCCCCCCAAAGTAACAAACCACATATAAGAACAACAGCACAGAAACAAATGATACTCAGAGAATTCTAATGTACCAAATTTTTAATGTAACGATTTTTTTATTAATGATGAAATCAAAGTTCCTACTCAGTTTGGGTTTTACAACTGTGACAGCTATTTTTAAAATTAAAAAGGCATAAACTGTTTAACAAATTACAATAAAATTAGAAAAGGGGGTTGCCCATGTCCTGTGAGGAAATTAAGAATATTTTATTCACTTCAGTAATGCATGTCTACTACTTCCATTAGTAAGGCAAAGAAATCACATTAGCTTAGCCTAAGGTACCTCCAAAATCATATTTTTGTCACAGGTTTTAAGTAATAATGAAATAAATGGATCTCTCAGCCTACTTAAGAAAAGCATTCCAGCATTACTGAAAAGGACAAACCTTCTCCAAACCTTTACCTTTTTTTCCTTCGCTTTTGTTGATGAATTGTGCATGGCACTTACTATACTTACCAGGGCAATAAAAGGTAAGGAATAGAAATGGAGAATTAGTGTGATAGTGGCTGTTCTAAATCACAAACTTTTCTTGGAAGCAGGTCTATATACCACGCACAGCGAAGGGAAAGATGTGTAAGAGAATTGGACTGGGCTCAGCATATCATACAGCAAACGAGCAAAGATGCAGCGACACATGAGAGAGATTATTAATTAATAGAACAGAAGTTGCTCCAGTGCCCTGAGTCGCATAATGACTCAAGGTGCATTGTGTCACTATGATACTAGAAAAAAATTGTTTGCTGCAGTTATGACATGATATAAGTGCTTCTAAATTCAAAGACCCAATGTATTTTTAATACACTCTAAGCCTCCGGACTAAGGACAGGAGCCTCATTCAGCAATTCCACTCCACACAAGGTTTAAGTGCAGAATTATACCAATATGGAATGCCATTGACAGAGACCAACACACTGGAAGCATCACAGTACTGTGTACTATAAACCCGACAGAGATCAACAAAATAATGTAATGTGTACCAAGAGTTTAACTCACTAAGGTGTACCACTGATGATGGAGAAACTGGTAATACATCTGTTACCGCAATTTTATCTTGAATCTCAAAACATTTTATACCGAATGCATGTTTCAGTACTTGCTGCCAAAAACTTGTAAGACACAGTCAAGATTCAACAGCAGTGATTCACACTCCAGATATTAACTGCTTAAATTTCTAAAGGCTGTGGAATAAATAAGTTATATTCAAACACTGTTCCACAGCCTTCGCTCCCTCTTTGCAGAGATGGCAAATATGTGACAAGAACACACACACACATTCTATTTTCTTTTCTAAAAAGTATGGCAGTACCTAAACCAGTATTTGTCCACAAATCAGTCCCAAGAATAAGGCTCTATTGTGAACACATTTCCTGATAGTCAGTCAACCCCTTTAAACATGTTGGCACTGATAAGGGTTGTAGCTAAACAGTCTTTCCTGTGATCCTTCTGTCGCTACTGTTCAAACCAGTAAAGCAACATGCGGCATCACTGTATTTCCCTTCTGCTGCTACCTACTAGCTTCTTATTTTCCTTTTGCATAATTAACACTATTTTCTTTTGACCACATTTCTAAAACAAAATCAGAGAATGCAATGAAAATTATGAAGAGTATGTCCTCACAAGTCACCCTCTAACACATCAAGCTGCCTTCCAACTTTTTAGGCTGACTTCAGAGCCCGAGCATATGTGAATTATGTTGCCCAGTACGTGAAGTCAAAATTAAGACACAATATAAAGCTAGATGTATTTTGAATAAGTGATAAAGAGGTAAGAATTGATGCACCAGTCGACATCGCTTCCAGTGCTGTACTGAGTAGGAGAGGATCACAACCATCAGAGGAACGCTGCGTGGGAGCGTGGGGTACGTGATTGCAAAACAAGTAAGAAGCACCATAAAATGCAGGCAGCGTGCCATTTTGAGCGGGGGGATGGATAAGAGTGTGTGTGTTTGTCACTGTATGTTGAAATCAATGTAACTTCCAGTTCACCTTTCCCTGGAAACTTCTGAAAAACAGTGAATTTTTCAGACAATTCAAAAAAGTGTAGGAGTTCTAGAGCATTTGGCTGTTAAATAGTACCTAGTCTCAAAATTTAACAGTGATATAAAGTGCTCTGTATAATCTAGCCATGCAATCCAACCTCAAATTCAGTATTTATTTTAGAAATCATTAAATACCTTATTTTTTATGCTTTACATTTAAAAATAAAGGTATGAGGAACATACTGATACAAAGGTCAAAAACATTTGTCATTTTTCCTTGCACGATTTTATTTCTAATACCACCAAAGAACTATTTTTAAAATGTTAAAAGGAAAAAAAAAAAGAGCCATCACCCCAAAAAACTACCCAATGCCCGTTTCCAGAAGATACCACCATTGTCTTCATCTACCTGCTACGAAAATGTAACTCATTATTAAGCCAATGCAGGCTGAATAGTCAGACGCTAATTTTAAACACTCCGTAATGTAAATGTTCCATTAAGTTGGTAGAATCCAAAGAATAACTGTATATACTTAATTGAAAGTATATTTAATTCACTAATAACAACAATAAACTCATGTAACCAAAAAAATGCGCTCAGCAAGCTAGTCACAAATAAGCTATTCAACAAGTAATTAAAGTACTGAGACTTCAAACAGAAACCAACACTCCCCACGCCTCCCAAGATAAGCTAAAGCCAGAAGGCATACAGACAGTGAATTAACACAGGTGGCAGAGAGATGGACAAGAATGATAAACAACTGGTGACATCAGCAGAGAGATCACTCTTCACACAGGCTGTATCAGCAAGCAGGTATTTTAAGGGCTAGACCAAACGATCCCGTTAATTAGGTTTTCCTTGTTTTAATTACGTTAAAGACCAGAACCCAAGAATGTTCTCTCAAGGACTTAGAGCTTGCAGCTGACAGATGTACAAACATATACAAATCAAGATAATCCTGTGTCAGGATCCAAGACTATAGAATAAATCCACAAATTCAGCAAAATTCAACAATATCTATGTCCAAAAAATCCCAGACAGTGAACTCTCTAGGGATGAAGTACCTCATCGTTATTTCGTTGTGCCTGTGCGCCCTATGCTAGGGCAGAACTTCAGATTCTATCGAACACAGAAAATACATGGCTCCAAATTTCTTATAACTCGAGTTGATAACATTAAGGGAAGTAATTGTTCAAATTTTTGCGTAAGATTAGTATTAGCGGTCGCCAATGAAGTTGTAAGGCAGCAAATGCAAGAGACGGTCTTAACACGTTTCTAAAGCCTCAATTGCTCATCAGTAACTAGGTTCTGAAAAGGGACGTTATTTACTAAAGAAAATCTGGAACCACTGTGATTATACATCAGGATAGAAACAGTCACTAGTCTTCCTGGTAGCAACAGCAGTCCAGCATCAAATCCAATCCAGAAGGTTCTGGATCCAGGCCAGTAACTTTATTTTCTTCTACCTCGTATTCTCAAAAATCCAGATAAGACAGAGATCCTTTTTGATCTGAGGATGTTCACTTTTATACTTATTTCTCTGTTTCACTGATACAAGAGGAGTACTGTCTATACTCTGGACAAATCTGTTTAAAGCGAACCACCTCTGTGCATACATACAATTCACAATTTTCCTCATGTATTTGCAAAGTAATGAATGAGACCTATGCCTCACCTCAGAGCTAACATTTTTGAGGAAAATAATTAAGTGGCTCTTCGGTGGTTTCCTACATATTAGGAAAGCTTTTTGTTTTCCTTATTATTACATGAATGCTCCCCTTCACTATGAGTTGGAAATGGTCCTGAAAGATTGACCTCTTAGACTGCTATCAATAACAGCATTTTACAAACAGCCAATTAATATCTCACTGCTCCTTAAGAGAGTCTCACGATACTTAAAATCTAGGAAAGGAGAAAAAAAAAATACTTCTTCAGCAGGGATATATGTCATCAGCACAATATTAATTAAAGTTGAAAAATACCCCTGAGATTTTTACTACCTGATAATGCAAAATCTGAGATGAAAAACATATTCACAGTAAAATGATGCTGTTCCAGAAGATGCATTTTCCTCCCATTTCAAAGCAACTGTCTGCACTGCGCTATGCTAAATCACTATCACTTCACATAATTAGAGCGCAACAGGAGATGACATGGTAAACATGAAAGTCACCTGCCACTATTCTTTCTCTGAAAGACGCTTAAAGTTAGGGTAGTGGATGGCTTTACATATAATGTCCTCTATGCACAACTAAGCTTCAGTTTCATTACTAAATTAATACAAATGGAACACATGTGAAATCTTTATTCCTCAACAGAAATAGAATCTGATACATACAAGTAGTTTAATGCACAGGATGAGATTTAAGCCATCATCTGTATCCCATCCTGCAATTTCACAGTCACAGAGGAGGCGATTTACAGCCCCCAAAAAGCGAGTCCATGAAAACGCTGCTGCTGAAATCTTTTCTTTATAAAGTAAATTAAAAAAAAAAAAAAAAAAATCAGCTCCAAGTCTGAATTAGTTGTTTTCAAATGAATTTGGTCAAGAAATATACTGACACAAAATGCACAAAGGAATAAAAATGTATCGGCCAAGCACGACAGACAGGCAGAAATGTACTATTTTTGATACTCCTAGTAAACTTGATGTGAACATATTTTTCCTTTTTATTGCCAAACCATCTGCCTACCATTACATGCTGTAATTCACCTTGCTAGCAAACATCTAGTTTTGTGAATGCAGCATTAGCATCAAGATTTTTCACATCTTTATCGTATAATTTTATGTTGCAATTCTGCCATTAAGTTTCATTACCTCTTTAATAAACTCCAGTTCCCTTCTCACCACCTAAAGAGAATCCAGAAGTACACTAATACTGAAGCTTTCAAACAAGTGACTTCTAAGTATTTATTTTCACTGATGAGCTCTGGGAGTCTTGTCTACTGCTACCAACCACACTGAATTATCTTGCAAGAACAGAGTATTACTGTTTGAGCACTTCTAGATGTTTTTATTTATTATTCTCATTTGATGAGTGTATCCTTTTCCTCAATATGATGAAAGACATACTGCTAGTTGAAGCTGCATTGTGTTCCGTCCCTCACTGTATGATAAATTAATGTAACAAATACACCTCCATACACCACGAGCACTTGTAACTATATTAACAGTAATCAGCAAAAAATGAATATAAACTCTGTCTTAGAGAAAATGGAAAAGAGGGAAAAACACAGGCAGGATCAAGCTCTAATTCAAAATGATTACCAAGTAGTTTTCCATTCTTCTGTGATTTTACATCAAAAAATATCAGGCATTCAAAGGAGAGAAATGTTATGTTAGCCAGAGGTATGTGACACCATTTTCATTTCAAAGAAATCAAAGAACAAAATTTTAAGGTAGAGATTCAATGCTTTAAGGCTATTTTAATCAGTCTTCAAAACTCTTGTTTAGTTGCTAATAAGCTGGGACCACAAATGTCTAGAAAACAGCTTGATTTAGAGATATATTCCTTCCAGAAGACTATGTTGATAATGTAGTTAGATGAAGCAGAATAAAAGAACTAAGTTAACTGTTTCACTGCATCATAAAGTACATAAACAGAACTAGAATGTATCAAAAACACACCATGTAATGAATTATAGATCAAATTAGCAGACAGAAAGAAAATTAAAAAAAAAAAACAAAACCAAACACCAAAAGGATCAGGTCTACAGCTCTCAGCATCTGTCCAGACTGGAGCCCACAACCCCTACCACATTTGAGTCTGGTCAGGACCATTTCTGACTCCCTGACAAACTACGAAAAAAGCCAAGATTATGATGTTATATGCACAATAGGAAAGCTTCTATTTCCTAATACCATGCAACCTGGAACAGAGTTAGAAAGAGAACATGAAATCTCGCAAGGAAATGAAGCACTCCTTGATTGTTAGGAATGACAGACTGACAACTAGAGAAAAGAGGATGCGTCTGTATCAGTGTTTTACTTCAAATTAGGAATGGAGTTGCAAAGCAACTGTCCCCAGTGTCTATCTACTGCACTTTAACTAACACAAAAGAGTATCTTGCAGCATACAAACTGGATTTCTGTTAAGTTAAACAGTAGTTCCACATACTCATAGGTGTTTAGTCCAGATTAGAGTCATCCCAAAAATAAAACTGCTCAAAATCTGCACAGGGTGGATGCTAGGTCCTCAGCACCAATCATTTCAATTCTACAAATCCACTTCTACTATATCGTACTATTTGCTAATGTGGACAGATCTAAACTGCTGCGGCAGCTTCTCAAGTCTGAAGCTAGCAGAGAGAGAAGAACTGTTGCCAATATATATGACAAAAAAATTGGTTGATGATGCTGTATCTTATTTCAATGGCGTACAAAATGGTGTTGCAATTCTTACTGCCAGAGCATAAACAACGTTACCCAAAAAACAACTCAAAACTAGAATACACTAGTCTGATGCCTCAACCGTCTAACAGATGCTTTTGCTCGTTCAAGCAAGAGCCCTTGCCCAAATTATGCTTCAGTAGTAGCAAAAAGGTACTTTCAAGATTTGTAAATCCACAGACTCATGCAAGACTACTTAGCGAGCTCAAAGTTAAGGATCTTTCTTCTTGAGCACTCTTGTACTTTTTTCAAAACGTCCACAGATTTTTCTGGCACTGCTACCTGCAATTTCTGGACAGGAAAGGCATATTCTTCTACTTTTATATCCAGCAAATTATTGCATACTGGGGCTTAGTGACAGACACAGACTGACCAAGCATAAAAACCTATAAAAAAGGCCTCTCGTTTCTGCAACAGCAAACAAACCTTGTAAGACTGGGCAAGTTACGTGCCCGAGGCCAAATATAATTGTTCTTGCAAATGGGCAACACAAATAGAAAAAGAGAGTATTTAAGCACTTTCTAAAGAACCAACAAAGCGTGCATGTGTGATTGAAAAAGCTAAAGCCTGTAAGGACAAAAGCAACTCTGCCTTCAACCAGAGCAGACTGAAAAAACTAAGAAATACTCGACACCTTTGAGCATGTAAAAAGGATCACGTGAAAATGCTTTTAAAATTTCAAATACAGATAGCATACACACATTTAACCAAAATCACATTTAGGAAAAAGTTATTGTCAGAATTTCCAATTTGCAGAACTAAACATCACCAGAGAAATACCATTCTCACTGGAAACCCCCCAGCAGGCTCGGCCAACGCCCAGTGAACTGCATTACGCCACAGCAGAGCTATCTTCTGAGTCTGTAAGCACAGGTTACCAGATCATAGTATCAACTTCACTGTTACTCAAGCAGCTTTTAATGGTGCAGTATAACGAAAGCTTTTCCCTGCAAGCACACAACGTATCAAACAGAAATTGGTGAAAATCTTAATGCACTTCATGCAATAGAAATGTGATCTTGCAGCCAGTGAATACAAGTATGTAGGAGCTTGGAAATAGTTTGTGTCAGTTCAAATGCAGCTTACAAATATGAATGGAGGTTTGCGGAAGAACATTAATGAAGTGGTTACCTGAGTAACATCTGATTACAGGTGGTCATTACTGATTGCCTGCCACAAGATCTTGGATAGCTACAATTGTTCAGCTAGGACCAAGACCCCTTCCTGCCATAACAGACACCTCCTTTACAGAAATTTATCAACTTCTAAACAAATGCAGTCTTGGTCAGGGCACAGCACTCCACAGGATGTCTTAAATATGGGAAAGAAGATAGAAAAACGTTTTTCTCTAACAATTCCCTTTGTTCTCTGTCACATCCCAGTAGACTGCTTACTGGTACAGTCCTCTGGGAACATTTTCAGCTTCACAGTGTACTACTTCAGCTCCCCAGAGTGGCTGCAAAATGGGGAGTGGACGGATGTGAAGGCAGTGAACACACTCTTCAAAAACGCACATAAACTTCATGCAGATGGGTTTTTAGGGCACCCCGTAACAGTCTGCCACACACGTCCAGGTATTATATTGCTGGTGACAGAAGTAGTTCTGTTTTCTGGGTTTTGTTCTACGGAGCATCTACCAGGCATTGTGACCTTCTGAACAGATACATATTAACACCTATACCCCTTTGGCTTGCTTGGAAATTCAACACGGGCAGGCAGTTTTTACTACTGTATAGAAAGGCTACAGCACTACAAAGTGAGGGAGGGAGGGAGAAGAAGCCTAGGTGGATCAGCATCTGAACTGTGAAATGGTAAATCAGCAACCCATTTCACCATACACATAAGCTGGAAAACATAAAGCAACTTCTCTATTTCCTTCCTAAAATGCTTTGTTCAAATGGGAGAAAGATTATAGAGAACAAAAACTGGAAACAACATAAAAGGATTATTTGCCTAAGAAGATTTGAGACTATGCTCTGCAACCAGGTTACAGAAAATACATGAGATGCAGACTGATTTAGCATAAAATCCCTACATTAGCTGTGATTTACGGTTCTCTACTATTATTAGAACTGTACGTTGTACTATATTTGCAAGTATGAATTACAGGACAGGTGAAACATGCTGCATCTTATGAGTGTAGAGTTGCCCTTCAGTAATAAGTCTGTAGAGTTTTGAAAGTGTTTTTTAAAGTAGAGAAATAATTTTTAAAGGTATGTATGAATTCCAAGTGCTTTGATGTTCCCTTCATAAATTTGCATAATCATACGTTAATTTATTAAACTGAACTGACCAGAGTTTTCTCACTAATGAAATACATCACTTGAAAACTTTTATTTCAACATTCATCCAAAATAATTGCACTCCACATTATTTAGCTTATATGCAACTGGGCAAGTTCTTCATACATTTAATTTGTTAATATTTTCTTTATTTCTACTCTTAACTTTTGTTTTACACTACAAAATTCCAAGTACTATACTACAAGACTGAAATCCTGCTCCAGTTACTCCGAGGGGAAAGCAGACTGATTCTACATTTAAAGTATCAAATTCTACAAAAATCTGAAATACAGGGAGTGTAGCATTAGTCCAAAAGTCACTCTCTTTTTTCCCCTCTTCTGTATTGGTAGCTTCAATAAATACGCAGAAGGTTATAGTCTGATTTTCTCTTTTAGCTAACTGTGGGAAAGAGAAGGGCTCACAAAACGGCAAACAAGTTGAGTAACACGATATAGGGGAATAAATAGTCAGTAGGAAAAGGAAAAGGATTTTTTTTTTATTAGAGGATTTTAATCTTACCGTGCTACAACTAAAAACTGGTCAATCTGACGGTCAGTAAGGGGGCTATCTGGATCCCATACTTTTACTTCCAGCTTTGCCTGTTCTCTGTCATCTAATTCTCCTGTCAAAAGGTAGATGGGACAAAACACTTATTACTTACAATGTTTTTCTCTGTGTATTTCTTGTACTATGTTTAAAAGAGACATTGTACATTCTTAAACACACATACACAGTACTTAACAATCATCAGTTATCCATTTAAATTCCATAATGCAGCATCAGTAAAATAAATATCTTCCCTTAACATCAGCATTTCAATTTAAGGAGGCTTTCTTTGGAGGTACAGTATCAAAGCACTTTAATAAAATGTAATTATAAATTCAAAACCATAACCTAAGTAACCAGTGGTTTCTTTAAATTGCTTCTCAACTAGATAAATATCACTTAAGCAATATTAAAATTAATTTTACACTTAACCAGCTTTAGCAATTAAATTCTACCCAATTTGTATTCTATGCCCCCAAAACAAAAATAATTATGAAAAACTGCTACTAAATTTAATTTTTTTTCACCTCTTGCTCTGAGCCACTACATTATCTGTAATGTTAACACAAATCATACAATTGAAATTGCTGTGTATGTTGGCTAGTTACATTCTCTTATAATATATAAGGCACAAGAAAGTTACTATATACTACACCATCATCTCCCAAATCCAGTTGTCCAAACAGAGCAGTTTGTGTACATGCGTGTGACCGAAACAGTGGTGGTGGTTTCTGCAATGTGATTTGCCCTGTATTCATTGTTCAAAAGACTATGGCGTTTGTACTGCTTGGAAGAACAGCGAAGCGTGAAGACACTACAATGATTCATGTTCATATGGAAGCCCAAATCTTGGCTTGACTACTACACCAGTAACTTCTACTGCAAAATGAGAAACATTACAGAGGCTCATTAAGTAGGCACAACATATTCTACTAGCATGAGAAGATTTGCTGTGGGATGTGGCAAACACATTTGTGGGCAGAACAGATGACAACAGCAAAGTTAGTATCATTGTTTTTCTTTGGTATTTTGAGTATGTTTTTCCTTTGGTGAACATGTGAAAAACTCCAATGTTTAGCTGGCTTCCAGTACTTGTCTCTGACTTTTATGACCTACTACAAGAATAAAAACCTGTTCTCAAATAGAGCCATTCCATTTCCTTTGAAAATCTAGGCTGTGTATGTACCTCTCTGAGAACATAGAAGATCACTTTAGTCTGTGCTATTTCTTATGACTTAATGAAAACAGCCAGTCTAAACTCAGAGAGCGTCATCAAGACATGAAATAACCTGTACACTTAAGAGTCTGGAAGCAGACTGCAAACCAAGCGCTAGCTCTCCTGAAATCTGATCATATACAGCAAGTTTCTCTAGCATATTCATTCCAGAATGAAACGAAAACATACTATCTATCCCTACCAAATACACAAGTTACAACTGCACCATGCTGTCTGGCCAATGCTTCAGGAACAAATGTCACAGTCACATTCTCTGAAAAACACAGTAAACGACTTCTGCTACGCAAGTAATAAAGAATTGCCTGCTGAATGTGACTTCTGCTTCTGTTGAAGCTAATTCACTTCCAGTACTGGAGACAAACTGTTAATTTCTGGCAATCCTGGATAGGAATTTAGGTCTATAAACTTATTCGACAGACTACACACTTGTCAATACATTCATTTTTTGTATCTGGCACAGACACATTGTGGGTGATTGTCTACATTTTCTGAATAACCTCTCAGCACTTCATTTCAATCTGTTAATATATAGTTTTTAAACATCTTTAATGTTAGTTAACTGTTTCAGGACATCATATCCTAGAGATCATAACAACACTCAGGCAGCGTATACTTGTCACAAAGAGGAAACAGCATACAAGCACAGAACGAGTATCCAACCAAAACGTGTCACTCTCCTGAACCAAGTCTGTAAAAAAATGAAAAAAAAATCGAATACTACACATCTTACTTCCATTAGAGGTAAATAAACAATTGCTACTACAAAATGTTGTTCTAGCTCTTGATAAAGGTAAATCTGAAATAATGCCAAACAGTATTTTACAATGACAGTAGACATATAGGATACGAGCAATGGAGTATTTATATCAAAAGAATCCAGACACATACAAGCTAATATTTGCAATACTAAACATTACTGCAACAATGGTAGACGAACTTCCAGAAGATATGTGGTCTCTGCCAAACTGCACTTACACAAAATGCTTCATTCCAAATTTGGCATGATATTATCACTTAAACAGGAAGAAAAGTAACCTAAACAGATCAAAACACAGAGGCAGTCAAGCGGTGCTGTAGAAATCTTTGATAAGTCGATCGCAGGAATAAAAATTTTATTTACTTCCTTCAAATGTGCTGCAAGAAGCAGTATAGGAGGATCACATAAAATAAACAGGCCGTCTTTCAAAACATTAATTATAAAAGCCCCCTCTGTTTTCCTTGAGCTGTTTGTCCTTAGTTAATCACGCCTGTACCTTATACCAATTTCTCTGTTAACATCTCTACATTTATCTTTTACATTGTTGAATTTCACACAGAACTATAAGACATTAAAAATGAACATGTAGCAAAGTTGCCATAGGATTAATTCCTTATAGTACAAATTCCAAGACACAAACAGAACACAGGAGTTTAACTTTTTTAACATTTTCATTGTCGCATCTGAGAAGGGGTTCAGGTTCTGTTTTACAAGTGTCACCTTCCCTCACCACCACCAACATACCAATTACAGCTTCTGAGAAGATGCTGGGCTATTTTTTTTGAATGACCACTACGACATACCAGTGTATCCAACTTGTTTTGAGTGCTGCTTATAATTTTATTATAGGCAATCTAATCCTGAAGTTTAATTTTACTGGAAAACATTAGTAGACGGACAAAACTTTGCCTGGTTTTCTCCTCATCAATCATTCAATGCTTTACTTCTCATGGCTCTCTTCTAACAAAAAGCAAAATGATATTTTTGTCTTAAAAAAAAAAATATTAAGTTCTGCATTTCAGTTAGTCATTTTAACTAAAGGAAAGCATGATATGCCCCCGCCCCCCGAAAAAAATTGTAAGAAAAATTTTACAAAACAAAAGTAAACCAAACACAACTTTTCACTGAGTGCAATTAAGAAGAACTACAAGAAAATATAGATCTAATTAGTCAGTCTTTTAGACTTCACTGCCTGCAGATAAACACCCCCAAGGTAATTCGTACATTAGATTCAGCATGATTCTATGTTATTCTTACAACATATCCAACTAAAAGAAAATAACTTGCAGTATGAACTCTTAGAGTGAAAGTCTTTTAATTTTACAGATACCTAACAATTCTGCAACATTGTATCCTTTTAAGAAACTGAAATATGAAACCTATACAAATTAGATTTTTTAAAAATGATTTTCAGATAAACAATGCCAATTCCACTTTCAATGACAAACAGTTGATGAGGTATCTGACCGAAAAATAGCCAGGAAGAGAGTTTTCAGAGACTCCATTGGTTAGGTACAACGTCTTATTTTTCTATTAAGCACAATTTGCAGTTTTTCAACACACCTTTTTATTCTCCTTTTCAAAAAGTAATTTAGCAGTCACTTCAGTCCAAACATATAAAACTACACACCTGCAGCGCTCAGCTTTCTGAGTGAATCTTTCATGATATGGAAAACAGAGATATCAGCTGCTGGATCCTTAATCACACGGGACAGAAAATCCATAATCGCAATTTTTTGGTCATAGTAACAAGGCAGACGTATCTATGGACAGCAGTTGGACACCAGACCAGTAGTTTGTATTGCAGAGTTCCTCCTACTATGGAAACTCATTCAGGGTTTGATACAATCTCTTGAAATCAGCCAGTTTTGACTCAAGCATTAATTACCTAGACTCACTAGACACCTAAGCACATAAACGTATATTTTATATATATATATATATAACATAATACAAACATGTTTATATTCTTAAAGCTTGGCACATATCTAAGAAGTAAATTCGGTGTCTTCATCCTTGTGCTTCAGTTTTATACCTGTGAAACAGGAGTATCTCTTAACTACATTGCAAGGATGCAGAAGAGACACACTTGTCAGTTCTTACCCTCCCTTCGTCCAGTTCAGCATGCACCACAGTGATGTGTCTGTTATTGAAATAGGGGATCAGATTTAGTAGATACAGCGTTTAGCAGATTTTTGTCAGAATTGTGGGCAGGATACTAATTGCAGGTAATCCTAAATGTCTTTTTGAACACAACTTCATGTGCTATATAACATTGCAAAAATACGCAACTAATGACTGAAAAAGAGGTTTGAATTCATGAACTCCTTTCTCATGCTGCTACTTACACTACTTGTCTGCAAATTTCTTCTCTAACTTAGAGATGAGAAAAATTGCATCACATTGGATTTTCTCATACTTTCTAGCTATCAACAAAGTATCAGACAATTAGGCCCGTCTAAAGTAAAATATGAGCTTTCTCCCCCAACGAAAAGTTCCTTAGCTCCCCTCTAAAACATTCAGCATATTAATTCTGTATAAAATGAATTATAGATTCATACACAGAGGTTAACAATCACAAAACGTCATGCAGCTTATGACAAACAACTGATGGGGGGGGCACATGCAGCTTAACTGAGAAAGCCCGTTAGAAAATGTTGAAGTAATTGCCACTGGGAAAATGTTTTACATGAGGTATAAGAGAAAAGACATATCTCAGATGGATGTACAAACTTTACCTACTGACACTTAATGAGTTCAACTCTGCATAAACTGAATTCACAAACAGCTAGCTGACTGTTGGTCTCAACTAACAGAAATTACAACCCTTCTCACTATAAAAGCTTTACAGACATAGAATTCTTGTTACTCATTTTTGACTTTTTTTTTTTTAATGATTTGTGATTCTCACCAGTACTGATAATCAAAACTTATCCAGAAAAAAGTTCAAAAACTTACACTCAACTCTGCAAAAAATAACTGAATTATGTACAAACAACTTCTCTGATTAAAGTAACATGAGAAAGCTTAGATTATTTTAAAAGTGTAGGCAAAAGGAAAATTAATCTGTTTACCTTTCAAT